TTTTGTGCGCATGTCAACCTTCCATAAACCCTCAAAACGGCTTTCAGTCTTGTTGAGTTTGAACGGAGAAAAACGAAAAAATTTGAAAAAGCCCTCTTTGAAAGCCGGATAAAATTATAAAGACACCTGGTTTTTCTAATCACTATCGCTTTCGTTGACTCTCAATTTTTTTTGAACGATTACATCCTGAAATATGAAACATTTGCAACATCTGCGACTTGTTCTCTTTTTCACACAAAAAAGTTCACTGCATTTTTTGCTTTCAAAAGCAACAAAAGTCAATTTGCTTTAACCAACAACTGGTTTGAGAAGTTTGCAAGCTCTTGTACTTTTTAAATGATGGTCATGGAATCTATTGGCCCTTCTGAATAGATGAAATGAAGAGCGCTTTCGTAAACTATGCGTAATCGCTGATTTTGACGGACAGACTCCAACCTAACCATAGGGTTGACGCACTTTTTGCACTATGTAATTCAGTTTGCAATGTCCAGAAATGCTGAACTTGATTTATTACACTGCCTACATGGGGATGCAGCTTTCGCAACAACTTCCAGATTTTCCCTAATGATGCGGTAGCGATTTAGACCTGAAATACTTTCCACAAAAATTCCCTGCGAGCAGAAGATTCGATATAACCCTAGATCTCCTTATTTCCCTCTGTGTTTCATGTCATATTTCACCGATGAATGAGATTAGCTATGATTTTGAAGATTCAAGCGTCTCCGGTCTTATCTTGTGATCTAAGTTGGCTTTGATTGTGCACGGTGCTCCACTCAACATTCAGTGGATGTCAACTGCGGCTGAACCAGAGTGCTCATTCCCGAAATTTTTTCCCAGTCGTGCACACGAGTTTACTGTTGTATGGCTGTCGTAATGGCTACATTACAGTATTTTCTGTCGCTTGAATGTCAAGTTTTGTGGTGCAAAAGTGCGTCGACCCTATGATTAGGTTGGAGTCTGTCCGTCAAAATCAGCGATTACGCAGAGTTTACGAAAGCGCTCTTCCTCATCTATCCAAAAGGGTCAGTAGATTCCATGGCCATCATTTGAAAAGAACAAGAGCTTGCAAACTCTTCAAACCAGTTGTTGGTTAGAGCAAATTGACTTTTGTTGCTTTTAAAAGCAAAAAATGCAGTGAACTTTTTTGTGTGAAAAAGAGAACAGGTCGCAGATGTTGCAAATGTTTCATATTTCAGGATGTAATTGTACAAAAAAAATTGAGAGTCAACGAAAGTGATAGCGATTAGAAAAACCAGGTGTCGTTATAATTTTGTCCAGCTTTCAAAGAAAGCTTTTTCGAATTTTTGTCGTTTCTCTCCATTCAAACTCAACAAGACTGAAAGCCGTTTTAAGGGCTTATGGAAGGTTGACATGCGCACAAAACAGCAAAGTTTCAGACAGATTCATTGACAAGAACGAAAATTACGACATTTTCTAGAGTGTCTTTATAATTATGTCCAGCACTGTATAACCAGAAAGAGAATGAAATGCTGCATCAAATGCTACCGGAATCTCTTACAGATCTTTGTTCTGCGAGATGCGAGTGCGTTTGAAAAAAGCGACATTACTCTAGGAAAAACCTGATACATTATTCTGAGCTTACAAAAATAGCATAAACCAATTTAAAAGGAAAAATTTGAGCGCGGGCTTGCTGTCAGGTCTATGTTGAGTGCGCTTTGAGTATGAAAACTTTGATTCCAGTGCTCACTTTGCTAAGCAACTACAAAATAGACGAAAGTTAGATGAAAAAACGCGAAATCACCCATAAAACGCATTCTCGGGAAAAAATACGCTTGAAAGTGTTTTTGAGTGAAAAAAGAAAATAAGCGTTTTTATGAAGATATGCCACAGCTGGACTAGGGCGAATGTTTTGACTTTTGGTTATTTATATGCACAAAGGATTGGAAGCCGAGAATTACAATGTGCAGAACTTTGAGTGGATCTATAGTAGTGGCCAGTTTCAAGCCTGTTTTTTTTTTCAAAACTTTGAGTTTTTTTCTGAATAATCAAACAAAATCTAGCTCCGTTCTGGTTCCTGATGTTAGCTTGTTCAACACACAGCTGTACCAAATCTCAGAATAATTTGTTGATAAGCCGATGAGCTACGGCAGTTTTCAGGATGGATTGATAGCAGAGGTGCGATGGGGGGAGCCGGGCCCCTAAATATGAAGGTGGTCCCAGTTATCACTGGCCGGCTAAAAGTGAAGATGGTAGTGCCGGACACTCACCTCCCAAAAAAGTCGACCGAAGGGGGGGGGGGAGAGCATTAAACGTCTATACTCCCAGTCGTTGCCGCCAGAGCACGGAAAATAAGTAAAACAAATGCAAAAGAGATCATTGAAAGCATATTTTTATGTATTGTATATAGCGGCACAAATATCTAAAATAAAGGTGCTTATTAAATGGTGTATTTGGAAGTAAAACTCAGCGAAACTGTACGGATTTTATTAAGCAAATTTTATTATAACGTACCGCAAAGAAGGTAGGTCGATCCAGGCAGTAATCACCGGGAACCAGAATTTCGAATGATAGAATAACGATAAATATGCGAAATTTCCACTATTATAAATCTGGTGTTTGAAGATGTCAGCAATCGCAACTTCATAGGTAGTAAGAAGTGCTCTATCAGGAAGTAGAAGAATCGAGTCGATTTGAGAGATAATCGCCGAAAACCAGAATTCTAAAAAATTACGCCATTTTTGCGTATTCAGTGACACCTGACAGTTAAACTCATATAAATCTTGGATGTGAAAGTGTGTGATGTTGCGACTTTGTATGCTTTGTAGAGTAAAATCTGCCTTATCGGAATATATCTTAGCCGTATCGATCCACTAAAAGAACGCCAAGACCCAAGGTCTTGAAAAAGCAGGTAAAAAAGCGCTTTTTGAATTTTAACAGCTCATAACTTTTTATGAACTGCTTGAATCATGTTGCGACTTCATAGGTTAGATTCTTCTCATCAAGAGATTTCATATGCTTTATAATATGTGGGGGTTTAGGGCCTCCTACGACTTATGCCTGTGGGGGGGAGAACTTTTCCTCACAAATTCTCCCCCCAGCCCAATTAAATGTATTGGCTGGAGACCGCCAGAAGAGAGTTAATAATGAAAAGTCTCCTCCCCCGGGCTTAATTCATAGAAGGCACGAAACCCCCACATATCATATATCATCTGAAAGCCCCTGATGAGGAGAATCTAACTTATAAAATCGCATCATAATTTATGCAGCTTTTAAGAAGTTATAAGCTGTTAAAATTCAAAAAGCGCTTTTTTACCTGCTTTTTCAAAACCCTGGATCTCGGCGCTGTTTCAATGGATCAATACTGCTAGCATATCGCAACATCACACACTTTCACATTCAAAATCTATATGAGTTTAACTGTCAGCTGTCAATAAACACGCTAAAATGGCGTAATTTTTTGAAATTCTCGTTTTCGGCAAATATCTTTCGCATCGACTTCATTTTTTCCTATCTAATAGAGCACCGCTTACTCCTGAAAACTATGAAATCTCATTTGCTGACATTCATACGTTAGATTTATAACAGTGGAAATTTTGTATGATTTTTCACTATTTAATTATTCAAAATTCTGGTTCTTGGCGGTTATTCCCTGGATCGATCTACTTTCTTCGCTGTACGTTATAACAAAATTTACTTAATAAAATTCGTACAGTTCCGCTGAGTTTTACTTATAAATACACCATTTATTAAACACGTTGATTCTAAATATAGATGCCGCCGTATACACAAGAATATGCTTTCAATAATCTTTTTTGCGTTTGTTTTGCTTACTTTCCTTCTTTATCGTTCAGCGAAAAAATTTTTCACCAAAAGTGAAGGTAGTCACCCTGTACCAGCTTAAAAGTGAAGGTAGGAGAGAATCGGCTCCCACTATCGCACCTCGATTCGATACTTTTGGCCAGTACTGTAGAAAAAACAGCTTCAAAAAGAGCAATTTTATTGAGTTAAGGGAACCGCTGTCACACCCAAGTAACAGTCATGATAACATGTTACAGACAGTTGCAGATCTCTGCCTCCTCAACAAAGCTATATTTTTGGAAGCATCATAACTTATAATATGCCGCTTTTCGGTCTGTGGGGTCTTCGTTCTGTGGAGTTGGTTGTTACGAAATTACAACGAGAAACGATCTACAATGCATTGAAGCATTTGAGAGCGGCATAACAAGAGAGTTTTTTTATGCCTAACGGTCACTCGATTGAAGAGAAAAACCGTACCATTACGTATGTGTACCAATACGTCCCACAATGGTCAGTAGCCCCTGTGAAGCAGATGTCACACCTTTCGAAGCGTAGAACAGTTAGCGCAGCTTTCAAGATAGGAGAATGAAGCATAAATTGAAGCTTTACAATACCTTCCAGAATGTGATCATGAATGAAATGCAAGTATTGTTTGATATTGACAAGGTAACGATCCCAACTTGAAGCCACGAGTTGAAATGAACCGCACATCATTGGATGCGTCTTTACGAGCTGATTTCAAATCTATCTTCCTTATTTGCAGAGGCGTTCCTTGCAAAAACTTATAGGTAGTTAGAGTGAAGTCATTGGGGCTACATGCATAATTGCTTCAAAGTCCAACTTGGGAGTGCATGATTAGCATGATACTGAGTGTACTTATTCTAAAGAATGCTCACATTCAGAGAAAACACGATCAAGTGCTTTAGAACAATTAAAAACAACTAAAGTTTTTGGTAAAAGCTATGAGCAACGAAAAGTCCAAATTTGGCAAATTTACTGCGCCATACATCGAGCATTAGTTATCAAAAACACTTTTTTGTGTTTCCGTTAAAAGTGAGCATTACAGTACCTTCAATATCATGCCAGTTATGCAATTTTAAGTCGAATTTTAGAGCATGTTATACATCAAAACCTCAATGACTTCAAACATTAAAACCGCTCATAACTTTTTCCAGAAAATGGCATCGCAGATATAAACAAAAGATTTGGAATCAGCCCGTCAAGGCGCATCTAATAGCATTATGCTGCTCGTTCCAGTTTGCCGTCTTGAAATGGGATCGTTCCCTCGTGAGTAAGGAATTTGTTGGCAAAAGCTTCTTTCAGACTGACAATATCAGTCAAATCAAGCAAATTAGCTTCTGATATACAGAAACCGACTCAGTGGATTCTCGGGATAGAAATATTTCATGACGATGAAGACCGGCCAGTGAATGAGATATAGAGCATATGATATCTCTCCTACAAAAACCATCCCCGGCTTGATAAGTGCAGCTATCTAAGAATGGGAAATTGGTTTGATTACACTCATTCGAGAAGAAAGTCAACACATTACCTGGTATCTCTTCCCTGCAAGGATGAGCGCTGCAGTCATGACTGTTACCTCCATGCGTGCAATATCCTTCGCTAATCTTGTCCAATAAAACAGTATTGGCACGGCGAGGATAAAAGCTGCCCAGGAAACGTAACGCATCAGCCTGGAGGTTGTGCAGTACCCTGAATCTCTCACATATCGTATGCAGGCAAAAACAAAGCGTTCAGTCATTTACATGTGCACTTCTCTTGTGCGCACTTACCACGACTCATTATGATAATATCTCACATTTCGCGTATAAAAAAGCTTTCTTATGATTGCAAGCGTAACTTTATGGACGAACATTCGCAGTTAATAAATCGCATATGAAGACTTTGAATGTTTATCTAAATTCTTTTTATAAATGTCTACAAAGTGTTTTGATCTGAAGATTGTTTTGCAAAAAGGATATATGTAGTTATGTAAATATATTTGAAACGAAAAGTTACATTTACAACCTTACAGGTTGTTTAATCTATACAAGATGTCCCAAAATGATGTGCACACTGTTTGATCGTTGATGACTCTTCTGCTTTCGTGTCTTTTGCCAAGCTTGAGGTACCGTTTTGTAAAGCGAGGTTCAGCTTAGATTAGAAGTGTGAAGCGAACCATCGGTCGCTTTTCATTACTATGAGATTACGGTAGAAATTTCGAGGAGGATTTTAAGCCACTTAAAACGGTACTTTGCCGGCATTTTTCCTCAGAAAGGAAGCCAAACAAGCCAGAAACTTTTGAATTGGGCTAATCGAAGTCGCTGATTTTGAATATGAAATTTGCACCAATATAGTGCTTTTTTCATAAGTTATTTCAAATTTATGGTAACAACTGTTTTTCCAGTAGTCGTCAAAAATGTGAATACGCCATCAAAAAAGCCCGAAAAATGGTGAAAGTCATGCAGTGAAATCAGCACGCCTAAAACCTTGCTACACAAATTTTCAAAGGTTTCTGATCTTCTTAAAGGCCTATTTCACAGTGACGCTTTATGCTGAAAGTTCATACCATAATCCTACAATAATGAACAATGATTGGTAATTTGTTCCATACTGCAAGACAAAATTGAACCTCGTTCTACAGAATGGCACCTCACGCTTTGTAAAGGACATGAAAGCAAGAGAGTAATCAACGATCAAACAGTTTGCGCATTTTTTTGGGACACTCTTCTTCCAAAAGTTCTTGCGCCGCATGTTAAAAAAATCATAACTTTGTCGTTTCTCGATAAATTTTTTGGAAGTGAATCTGCATGAAAGCATAGATTAAGCTCTTTAGAGCAGAAGGTTTCCGGTGAGTCAGTATAAAAAAATTCGAGAATTAGAAGCAATTTAAGAAAATTACTCAACATTGACACTTTTCAAGCAGGATCACAAAAAATTCTGGGCATTAAAATGGGTAGGTGGATGTCAAAATATTTTTGATTGATAGAGAAAACAATGCTTTTTGTAGTTCCTTTCCCCAAATTAACACGTTAACGACCAAGCCATTTTTGACCACATTAAAATGGACTGATGATCTACGGCTGCGGTTTAGACTGTTTAACAGCTACCGCAATGGCGTGTGTTTCTATATGACAACTAGTTCACCAGTGTTATCACTGCATAGAAGTTACCTGAGAACTTTTCGTTTACACATGATAAAATGATGCACGAAAGTGCTAAAAGGTGGTCAGGGTGTGCATACGCGCGGATGCACACGGTCGTCAACGTGTTAAAACGAAAATCGAGAGCTAAGAACAAATGAAGAGAACTCCTTCAGTTCTGCAAACTTTGAGCATGCTCAGAAAAACCTGTCACAGAAAAGACGGAAAAGTCATGAACATGGGTTATGTGACCTTCTCTTTCTAGGTGAGCTCAAATCGTGCTATTCGCAAGCAATTTTGATTTTCGTGAAAAACGCAAACCCGAGAATCTAAAAGATTGCGAAAAACAAAAATGCTTTTGATTGACATTTTTTTTTGCTCAGTCAAAAAGAGAGGATCACAAGACTCATGTTCGTGACTTTCCCGTTTTTTCTGTGACTTTGAACATGCTCAAAAATTGCAAAACTTAAGAAATTTTCTTTACTTGCTTCTAGCCCTCGATCTTTTTCGTTTTAATTCATGTAAAAGGCACTATAATAAAGAGCATTATTTTCTCTATCCTACAAAAATACTTCAGGAATTTTTTGTGACCCTGCTTGAAAAATGCCAACCTTGACTTCCTCCGATCGTTTTTAACTCTCGAACTTTCTCATAAAAATTCATGGCAAAGGTACTGCTGTAAAGAAAATTGTTTTCTTTTTCGAAGTAAGATAAAATTAAGGCCCGTGTGCACGTACATCCCCTCGGGGAGGGGAGGGGATCTGGGAGGGGAAGCGTCATATCTCGCTAGTTTATATATCTTTCTTCTTCTTTCTCTGTCTTGCTTTTGAAGGTTCTCATACACTGATACTTGCGCATAACGGATGCCAGGTTACTGCTATACAAGATTAGATATTCACTATTTCGTCTGATCCCCTGGGGATCCCCAGGGGATCACCGCGTATTTTCAAAGTCATTTATCTTCCTGAAAATCTACTGAAAATGCTGTAAAATTGTACTAGGTGGGGCAAACCTTTTGCCAACTGAAGCAATTTTTCCTTATTTTGACTACCGTTTTTGAATTTACCTCAACAATTTTCCAAAAGTTTAAGTTCAAGAAAATGACATGTTATCTCACCAATTGCAAAGTCTACAGAATGGTAAAGTTTCAACACTTTATTATAATTGTTACTAACATTACAAAGTAATTGGGCGCGATTTTCGCTTCAAAGTATGAAGATTTAAAAAATAGGTGTGCGCACTCGTGAAATTGAGAGATACTGTAATTTCTCCTGCAAGTTTTGCCTGTCTCGCTCGCCAAGAGAAGACGCTATCAGAAAGAGGGAGAAAAGTTACATCGAATGGTATTTAAAATGTTTACCACCTTTATGTTCTACAAGATTAAAATAAGCGGAGTACAAAGTTTGGTTACTTCAAAATAAAGTTTTTTAGAATTTTCAAAAACAAGGCGAGCATGGAGCTACAAGAATTTGTTTGCTGGCAAAGTATTTTCCCTGCTGCTGGCTATTAAAGCCCATCAAAGTCTCAAAAAATTTTGAGAATAAGCGGAAGTTGGACATGGTGAAAACGAAGGGTTATGATCTCCAGCGATTATCTCATCACTCTTCCAATAAATCACACTAGAAATACAGCAACTCGAGAGAGGATGAAATTTTGCATCGGATGCATTTTGTGTGTTTGTCTATCTTTATTTCACAGCGTTTGCCGGTGGATTGAGAGAAAAACTGACAAAACTTTCGCACCTACCTAACACAATAACCGTCTTGAAGTGATAATTGCAAATCTGCTTTCTTGTCTGCTAAACAGTTTATGAAACAAAGTTACAGGCCTTTGTTTAGGTTCAAATAAGACAAAGTTTGATTGCTTTTTGCAGAAGCAGTAGAACAGAGTAGTTTCCAAGCCTTTTCCTTCAACTTTTTGTTTTGTCCAAGAATATCTCCGGCATTTGACAATATCTGCGTAGCAAATCCGCATTTGCTGAGAACTTATTGTTAGATCATTTATACACTTAATATAGTGCTTGCCCATGCAATGTAAAACAAAAAGTTGCTTCTAACTTTGTCCACTGAAGAAGCACACATGGAAGGTAATTAGTAGTCAACAATTAAGGACCTCTTAACTGATATGCATCTGATTTTGAGCAAAACCCAGTTCAAATCATGTACATTTCCTTGTCAGTGTTGGCAGAAAAACCTTTCTATAATAAGTTTCTGATGAGCAAGGCTCAAAAATATTCCAATATTAAAGTGCAAATAGTACGCGGTATATAATTTGCAAATCTTGAGTAGACATCCCAAATTGGAAATGCTCAATCTTTCAAGTAACCTAATGTGTGAACCAAGCTTATCACGCTGTCAGTTTTCTCAGGCTCCCGCCAGAGTGCCGAAGTTATGCCAGCACTACGCCAGCATTTCGATCGATACACGTGTATTTCGTTGGGGACGTCAGCTAGCCCCGCCCCAACGAAATACACGTATCGATCGAAATGCTGGCGTAGCGCTGGCGTAACTTCGGCACTCTGGCGGGAGCCTCAGCACCTGAACAATTGCAGATCTGAGCATTTCATCACTACCGGTTTTATTGGCTCGAGACCAAAAAATCTTCTAAAAAGTCAAAAGATTTAGCATTTTGAAAAAGCCTTTCTGTTTGTCTAAGACTCTTGCCCAATCATTGGCACGTTGGCATGTTACTTAGTTTGTAGCCTGTTAGGAAACGGAAGTATGCAGTTGTGTAGGACTCTCTCAACTCTAATTTATTTTCAGCACTTGAAAAAATGAGTTCTCATTCATTCAATGTTGACAATTCAGCTAATGTTTGAACCAATGTAGGCCTACCTCCACCGCGCAATTGCCCATCATTGTAGGCTGGTCGCTCTGACTTCGTGTTCGCTTCATTCTAAAACAATTAGTTGGTTAAAGGAGTTTTATATTTGTACATGTTGAGTCTTAACGTGAGTTTCGTTACGCTTGAAGAGAAAAATCTTTGTTACTACACTATAAGACCTCTTTTCCAGTACAGCATATAGTTTATGACTTAAACAAATCTACTATGCCGTACAGGTTTTTATTAGTGACACACCTTATCACTGTCTTACGTTTCGGTTAGATACCGTGTTTAGAGGCCTGCAAAAAAGTCAGACACTCTGATATTTTTTTGCCGAACACCTCGTGCCACCCGCGTATCGATTCATCTCGGTTGAGATTGAGAGACTGGGCGTGAAAGAAGTCAACCTACCGAGCGTATTAACGTGGCAGCAGCGTATGCTGCTTCTGGACGTGTCGAGTGACTTGTCGAATGAGCACTTGGATCTTCGTTACTTTTTCAAATTTTTTTCATCTTTATATTAAGTAAAGAGTTGCAATTTTGTTTTGATATACAGGGTGTCCCAAAAAATGTGCCTACTTTTTGATTGTTAATGACTCTCTTGTCATAATTTTTTTTGATAATGATTAACCAATTTGAAAATCGGTCCTCTAGATTTACTATGGAGCGGATTACCTATCTTTCTTTATTATTACTGTAAAACTACGGTAGGAACACGCAGCTTATGGCTCCGTCACTGTAAGATAACTGTTGGGGAAAATATTCGTGTAGCAAGGTTTGCTTGCTGGCAGAGCTTTTTGAATGACCTAATCAAATTTTCACAAACATCAGAAGTCTGTCGGTACGTTATATCTGGCATGAATTTTGAAGTTACGTTGATGTGCTAGTTTCATATTAGAATCAGTGACCCTAATTCTAAAGGCAAAATATGACCCTCGATAACAAAAAACCTTTTCAAAGTTCTTACTGCAATCCTACAGTAATTTAAAGAGGAAGGCAATTCGCTTTTTTACTGTAAATCAGTTAAAGCCAGCTCTACAAAGTCATACCTGAACTTTTTAAAAAAGCATAATGACAAGACAGTTATGAACAACTTAGGCACATTAGGCAGGCACATTTTTGAAACACGCTGTTTTATGCCACTTGCTGGCAAACCCGCGTTAGGTGTTATAGTATTTAGTTTCGAATTCGTTTTATGTTCAAATTCGTACATGAAATTGACTTCGCGAGAAAAAGAATTCTAGCTTTGGTGACAAATTGCGACGAGGAAAAATGGTTGCGCATTCCACTCTGACAAGTGCCAAAACACAAGAACTCCTTTATGATAACACGCATTGACCCTCAAAAGAGTAGCACAAGCCCGGTATAAAACGAACTGCGCAAAAGTAGAACTTACACTGCACAATTGCACACATGAAAATAAACTCACGCTGTAAGATTGGATGCTGCACAAGAGAGAGACTATGCTAGAGATGTATCATAAAAACTAGTGTTGGAAGCTTATTCGTTGATTATACTACTATAAGTTTTCTATATCAAGCAATAACATTTCCAGAATTTTTTTGTGGCCCTGCTTGAAAAATGTCAATCTTGAGCAATTTTCTTCAATTGCTTCTAACCTTTAAATTTTCTTATGCCAATTCATGACAAAGGTACTGCTTTAGAGAGAAAGGTTTCATCTTTCAAAAGAACATGAAATGGAAGAAACACATCGCGTAGAAAAAAGTTACGGTTTTTTGAAAAAGGTGCGAACGAACTTTTGCACCCACCTAATATGTAGTGATTGCCAAAAAGTTGCGGACAAGTAGTCTTCCATTTTCCACCGTTTATTTTTAGATAGAAACAATGATGAAAAATGGGGTTGCATGAGGATGGAGTTTTTCAAGAGTTACAACCTACACATTACGCTTTCTGGAAAAACATGGATTTCAAAGAAACTACAAACTTTTATCAAAAATGCCCGTCCCAGGGCACGTCACAATGTCGCGGACAATAATTCTTCGACCGCAAATTTTTGTAGGTCTATTTTGGAGCGAAAGTAGAAGCTTTTAGGACAGATAAGCATACTAGAGCTCATCGAGAACAATTATTAGGTAGTGGTTGCTTTCAAAAAACTAAGTTTAAATTTTATTTTGCTTTTTCTCAAAATTAACTTCTAATTACCAGTTTCGAGCCAAATTTCTTCGCGCGGAAACCTATTTGAGACATTCCAACAAAGCTGTTCAATTAGAATGGATGCTCTTGGTCATCTTCTATGCAACGGACGTCGGCTGATGAGTTTCCTTGCCAGAGGTGCGACAGGGGAGCAGCAGGGTCCTCTCCAGGTGAAGGGGGTTTTGGGTATTTCTGACCCAGAAAGGTGAAGGGGGGAGGTAACTGGGCTAGGAATGAATGCTAACGCAAGCTTACTGTCTAACGAAAGCGGGAGTGAAAAGAAGGAAAATAAGTTTTACAGATGGGGTAATATAAAGATTTCCTCACTGCTTAAGCCTCAGAAAGTCATCCAACAGAGCCTTTTTTGATTCAGGAAAGTCTTATGTTCCATCAGTCGACATATTATTTGAACGCTTGGAACATACAAAATCAACGTAAACCGTCTTTTTTCCAGCTCATAAAAAACATATCTAGCTTCAGCACCTGATTTTATGCAATCACTTCACTCAGCTCCATTTCTGAAAAAAAGAAGAAAGCTGGAAAAAAGAGACGGTCTTCGCTTACTGGCAAAGTTTTGTTCTGTGATAGAGTTAGACAACTGGGCATCTTCATTCACTCTTTGCATAAAAGTCTCTTAAGAATACACATGCTTTTAGCTAAAATGCCATGTATCTTTGAGTCGAGGGGTGTTAGAGAAAAAGAGACCGACCATGTCGAAATCCTGTTTTGTGAGCTTTCTAAAGGTATATAGGCTATTAGGTAAAAAGACTTGTGGCTTTTCAAAAAAGAGGGGGAGATAATTAGTGTTAACTTGCTCCACCCTGCCCTTGCTTTCTATGGTTCGCCAGAGCAAGACTTTTTGGATTGGGAAAGCTTTGTGCACCAAGGCTTTGTATACCATTTGATGGCTAAGATCACGAGGGATCGACGTAAACCGTTATACCGTCTCTTTTTTCCTAGCTTTTTTTTGTGAAGCGAGATACGAGCAGTCTTACCTAGCTACAATATCAGCCAAGTTTGGGTAATTATTTTCCCAAACTAAGACCTGTATGCACGTACATCTCCGCTGGAAAGGGGAGGAGATCTGAGAGGGAATGCGTCATATCTCGTTACTCTACGTATCTTTCTTCTTCTTCCTCTATCTTGCTTATAAAGTTTCTCGTACACTTATGCCTGTACATAATGGATGCCAGGTTACTTACACAAGATTGTTTTTTGCCATTTTGTGTAATCCCCAGGTGTAAAAATGAAAGGGGGTTCCCAGGGGATCACCTTTCACTTTCAAAGTGATTTATCTTTCTGAGAAGTCAATAAAAACGCCGCAAAATTGTACTGAGGATATGCTACGGCACTGCTGAACACAATTCGACAAGAGAAATAGAAAATGAAGATTGCGAACTTTTTGATGATCCCTAACTTTCGAGCCAGAGATTTCCGAAGATTTCGATATCATATAACTATATACAGGGTATCCCAAAAGTAAGTACACACTTTTCAATCGCCAATATCTCTCTTCCCAATGGGTCTTCTTTGCCAGTCAAGTACCATTCTGTAGAGGAGGCTTCAACTCAAATTTAAAGTATCGATCGAATCACCGATCTCCCTTCGTTACTGTGAAACTACTGTAGGAACTTCGAGCATGTGGAATCATTGAGAAATATGCCATCTGACAAAATTTTTTCAAAAAATCCGAAAAATTGTGTACTAGGTTTCTCGCGCACGCTGATTCCACCATATAACTTTTTACGAGTGTTTTCAGCTTTTTTGACGGTGCAATCACATTTCTAACGAATGCTGGGAATTCGGTTACTATGGTTTACCTGAGATAACTTTGGAAAGAAGGGTCACAGTAAAGTGGAAACTTCATATTTGAAATCAGCGGCTCCATTACCATGGTGTAGGAGTTTTTGGCTTGTTTGGTTTTGTTCCGAGGTAGAATATGGCTTTTAATAGCCTAAAACCCTTGTCGAATTTTACAGTAATCCTACAGTAATGAAGAATGATTGGTGATTCGCTCAATACTTAAGTACTAAGTTGAAGCCTTTTCTACAGAATGATACTCAAAAAGCCGAAAAAGACGCAATGGAAAGAGAGATACTCACCATTGAAAAATGTGTACTTACTTTTGGGACACTCTGTATATATTAGGTTGTCCCATAAGTCTTTTCATTTTTGAGTTTTCGGTATAATAAGTCACACACTTCTCATTCTGAATAGACATCAGGATACCATTCGATAGGGCAAAGCAAGCTCTATAAGATGGTGTTTACGCTTTTGCACAAGCTTTAGTCTATCTCGAGTTTTAAACCAAAATCTAAAAAGTTTCGGATAGCCAGAAAACCGAAATTTTTTTATATCTTCGTTCAAAAAAATCCTACAAACCTCAAACTTGCTCACGTATATACATTCCACATAAGACATTCATATGTGCTCTTGCTGCATTTTTTTTATCAGCTAGAAATTAAGAAACCGAAAATTTTCCTGTTTTTACCAAAGTGATGCTGTGCTGTTCTTACACTGACAGCTGTATACTACAAGCCCTTAGAAGTACAACTGTATTTTTTTAGCTCTATACAAACTCTGGTTCGCGAGAAATGTTGATTTAAGCGTGAAAAACCCAAATGCAGAAAGCTAAATCTAATATTTCTCGTGAACCAGAGCATATAGAGAGCCAAAAATCTACGGTAGTACTTCTAAGGGCATCTAGTATACAACTGTTAGTGTAAGAACAGCACAGCATCATTTTGGTAAAAACATGAAAATTTTCGGTTTCTTGATTTCTAGCTAATAAAAAAATGCAGCAACAGCACATATGAATGTCTGATATGGAATGTATATACGTGAGCAAGTTTGAGGTTTGTAGGATTTTTTTGAACGAAGATATAAAAAAATTTCGGTTTTCTGGCCATCCGAAACTT